TTCTTCTGAACTGATTACAAAATAGTAAGAGTAAGCAGCATGAGCGACTACCTATAGAAGCTTCTTCGAAACTTCATATATTTCTAGAACGTTATAAGACAAATATGCCCTATTTAGTACTTATCTGGCAATAAAAATCGCGCCTCTAGTCATAGATCCAGAGAAATGACTGATTTGAAATTTCAAAATGGAGATCAGCAGATTAACAAGTTCTCGCTCGAAGCATGGACATCATCGTGTCTTACTGCCTTAAATTTGCAGTCATTTAAGGGTATTTTTCAAATTTCAACGAATTTCAAAAATTGAAGTTCATGATTTCGAAATTCAAATTCATTGGGTGCTGCTTTTGGCGAGTGAAGCTCAACGTGTGTCTTAGTACTGTATTTTGTTACCATGCATGTTATGATAGCAAAAATCGATATTGATAGGTCACGGCAGTCAAGGGCCGGAGCCAGCCTAGCTAATAATGCCACTATGAGGGACCAATAAAATCGGAAACAAAAAATTTGAGAATTTTAGGTTTTTAAACATATCATTGGATAGCTTGCGATGAACTGATTTCAAATATGTTGTTCAGAATTTTGTACAATTACTTTGAAGATCGTTATCAGCTTATCAGTGCAAAAAATGGGGCAAAAAGATTTAAAACGTGTAATTCACTAAAAAATTGAGATTTTCAAACTTTTAAACACATTGGCGGATAGCTCGAGGGACACTGATGACAACTGTGTAAACAAGATTATTGTGGGATGAATATGAAAGCAGTTACAAAAATGCGGCACTTCCGACGCAAAAACGCGTTTATTGTGCCCTGCGGCACATGAAAAAATTGACTTTTTCAGATTTTGAATATACTGTCGGATAGAACAATCAGTGCTGAATCCGAATATAACAAGGAAAATTAGAAAGAGTAGTTTTGTGGAAAGTTATTCGAATGCGGCTCTTTCGACGCAATATCGCGTTTATTGCGCCGTGGGGCACAAAAAAAATTGTGAATTTTTCAATTTTCAAATATACTATCGGATGCAACAGACAGCGCTGGTTCCAAATATTTTAATCAGAGCTCGATAGGAGTAGTCTGAAAGAAGTTATAGCAACGCGGCACTTCCGGCGCTTTATTGCGTTTAAAACGCAGTTTTGAAAAGCGGCACTGCCAGTGCTGTATGTGTGACAGAATTTTAAAATTTTTTTATTTCTGTCCAGTCTGCGCGGGTCTTTCTCCTTTGTTTTTTTGCTCTTTGAAACATTAGCAAGGAAAAAGCTCTCCACTTCTACATGCTCTTTGCATCTGGAACGAAATGATGTTTCAAGATTAAAAATGAAGCGTTATGTAATGCTAATGCAACCTCAGGTAGGTAGAGTTAGAGTAAGTCATCACATAACTCATACACATGCCATATAAAGATTTCTAAATTGTAGCTTTACATAAATCCTACACTTAGGGCCGCATGCACTAACATTTCTGCTAGGGAGGGGATCGCAGCTTCAGAAGAAAGCTTCATATCCTGAAGCTCCGGATATCTGGATTTCACACTGTCTACCTGTCCGTAAGTACTCCCACCATCCTTCACTATGAACATATTGAGCAGAAGCGAGAAGCTGTACAAGCCGCATTTCCCAGCTTTTTGTAGGATCCCCTGATGGTCCCTGGGGGACGAACATCTATTCTTCAAAGTCATTTTTCTTTCTCCGAAATCAACGAAAACCTTCCAAAGTTATACTGAACATCTAACACAACAGTGCTAAGCACGTTGTTGATGAGAACAAATGAATTTTTGAAAAATCGAATTTTTCGGTATACCCCAAATTTCGACCTGTGGACCATCGAAAATTTCACGACTTCAAAACATCATTTGTTCTCATCAGCAACATGCTTAGCACTGTTTTGTTAGATGTTCAGTACAACTTTGGAAGATTTTCGTTAACTTCGGAGAAAGAAAAATGACTTTAAAGAAAAGCGCCGGAGATCATCAGGGATCATACAAAAGCTGGAAAATGCGGTTTGTACAGCTTCTCGCTCCTGTTCAACATGTTCATAGTGTAGGATAGTAGGAATACTAACGGATAGGTGCACAACGTGAAATCCAAGTATCTGGAGTTTCGAAATACGAAGCTTTCTTTTAAGCTGCGATCCCCTCCCCGCGGCCATGTTAGTGCATGCGGCCCTTATTTTTTCTGTCAACGTCTATGCATTGTAAACAGAACATCTTTGACTCAATACGAATCGCTCCCAAGGCTCTACACGTTCATAACCCGTGCTTGATCGCAGCAGTCCTGCCACATTTGCTTGCAAATAATTTGGTAATTTCTGAGGTTTCCATGTGTTACATATGGTTAGTTAGCGGTTAATATATTAGGTTGATGCAAAAATAATGAGCGTTTTTTTTGCTTGCTTTAACAAAGCAACCAGTCTCAACCCAACAAAGGGTAAGGGGTACTGTTCGATAGAGCAAAGCAAGCTCTACAAGATGGCACTCATGTCTTTGCACCATGCTCGATCCACGGAGAGTTCGAACTCAAAATCTAAAAATTTCCACATGCCCAAAAAATCGAAAAAAATCAGATCTTTGTCCGTATAATTTCTACGGACCTCCCACTCGCTCACATCAATACTATCAATACCTGATATCCATATGTGCGATTTCCGTATTTTTTCCTTGACTAGAAACTGAGAAAACGAAAATTTCCCTGATTTTCTCAAAGCAATGCTGAGCCGTTTTTGCATATGTAGTTCTATACTACAAGCCTAGCTAAGCATAACTGTAGATTTTCAGCCCATTCCAAGCGGTAGTTTTCGAAAAATAACGAATTCGGATTTTTTTGTTTCAGTTTCAGTGCTAAAATCGACATTTCTCGAAAAGTACCGCTCGAAATAGGCTGAAAACCTATAGTTATGCTTACTCAGGCTTGTAGTATAGAACTCGATATGCAAAAACGGCTCAGCATTGCTTTGAGAAAATCAGGGAAATTTTCGTTTTCTCAGTTTCTAGTCAAGGAAAAAATACGGCAATCGCAAATATGGATGTCAGGTATCGGTAGTATTGATGTGAGCGAGTGGGAGGTCCGTAGAAATTATACGGACAAAGATCTGATTTTTTTCGATTTTTTGGGCATTTGGAAATTTTTAGATTTTGAGTTCGAACTCTCCGTGGATCGAGCATGGCGCAAAGACATGAGTGCCATCTTGTGGAGCTTGCTTTGCTCTATCGAACAGTACCCCTTACCCTTTGTTGGGTTGAGACTGGTTGCTTTGTTAAAGCAAGCAAATAAAAACGCTCATTATTTTTGCATCAACCTAATATTAGGTTGTACCGAAAGTTCGTTCGCACCATTTTCAAAAAATCATAACTTCTTTGCATCTAACCATTTTGCGCAATTTAAACTTTATTAGAAAGCGTAAAGCATGTAGTTTCCAAAAAGTCTACTGGTGACTTTCCAGCATGTTCAGATTGCAGAGATAAAAATGAAAGAACGATAACATCCGAAATTCGGAATTTTTGAGCAAAAATTCTAGAAATCTAGAAACTGCGCGATAAAATCCAGAAAAATCATTATCCTAATTTCTTTTATATTTGTTTACTAACTGAGTTAAGTTTGTGCTGATCGAGCTCTTCTTTCAAAAGTTATGATTTTTTGAAAAAAAATGCCGAAAAATCAAATTCTTAAGAATTCTTAGGAAAGTGATTTTTCGGAATTTTTTTTTCAAAAAATCATAACTTTTGAGGGAAGAGCTCGATCACCACAAACTTAACTCAGTTAGTAATCAAATATAAGGAAAATTAGGATAATGGCTTCTCTGTATTTTATCGCGCAGTTTCTAGACTTTTAGAATTTTTGCTCAGAAATTCCGAATTTCGGATGTTTTCGTTCTTTCATTTTTATCTCTGCAATCTGAACATGCTGGAAAGTACCCAGAAGACCATTGGAAACGACATGCTTTACGCTTTCTAGAAAATTTTGATTTGCGCAGAATTGTTGTGATACAAAGAAGTTATGATTTTTTGAAAATGGTGCGAACGAACTTTCGGTTCAACCTAATAGTATGGCCGATTCATCGCACGCAGAGACAGGCTGCCGCTGCGGACGCTCCATAGTTTCTCGCATCGAACGCACTTTTATTTTTTGAACTGTCTCATGTCTCCCCGAAACACGAACTATCTTGATCGAGAGCTCTGTGTGCAAAAATTGCCCCATCTATTTGGTGTTGGTAAAATTGCTATGTGGCGCAAAACTTGGAAGTGTGCTCTTTGGCCATTTTCCCTCTCATGTATTTTCTCCATCACTGTAAAGTTTATAAAGCGAGAATTTCACTAAGAAGAGAAATAATTTGAGTTAGGCGACGTATTGCTCTGCGACGCAGTGGCAGTGTGCCAGATCCGGACGGAGTGTTAGAAGTTCGAACTTGTCTCACTTGAATACGCTTCCGCGTTAACTCCATTATTTTTTAGAAGATGAGGATGGCTCCTAATTTTATCAGGTTCGATAATACGTTCTGTGATTCTCATCTCATTCTAACGGCCAATTTTGCTGATCGTACTCCTTCTAATATGAGTAAAGGATTTTCTTAGTCTCCGTTTCTTTACAGGTTCTGAACCTGACAGTGATATTTCAATTTGTTGTGCAAGTGCTTCAAGTAACAAGGTAATACTATATCCAATTATTTATTTTCAAGAACTGAAAATATAAGCACCGATAACGTCAATGAGACGTAAACAGTACGCGCTTGAAAAACAACCGTAAAGCCACCGAAAAAAGGCAGTTGTGGATGGACAAAGGCATCACGGACCACATTGGAAATCCAAGTCTAACGTATAAAAATTGTGAGGTCAATAGAGGAAACTGCCAAACTGATCACTTATAACTTTGCGATATGGCATTAAATCGACCCGTTTGAAATATTTTAAATACATAGCACAGCTTTAGCTTATCTTCATGATCTACATCCTAGACGTCGCTCTAGCAAAGTGATAATGATAACCTATTTTGAAAGAAATAAACATTTACAGGGCAGTGCTTTTTATCACATCTATGACAGGAGTCGTCGCTTTTGGCTTTGAGGTTGGATAGAGGGCTTTTTGCTGTAATTGGCATGATTTGTTGAGAAAGATGAAGGTAATAATGAGCAGGACTTACTTGTTTTTGGCATTCTACAACGTCATTGTCGATTGGGATGTAGGATCGGTGAGCGATGAACAAGCAGCAGAAGCAGAAAATTTTTGCAATTATTGCTGTAAAAGTTATTATTTTCATGGGAAATTCGGAAGCTGCGAAAATCTCCTTGAGGAAAAAATATAATAATGGAAACTTACTGAACAAGAAAATGTAAAATCCAAGTTTTTCAGCATTGTAAAGTACACATTTCGTCGAGCCATCACAGCCTGTACTCCAGTGCATACAAGTGGTATCAATTACAGCTCCAAAAAGAACGGCACCAGGAATTGAGCCTACAATAAAGTTCAAATTTTCACTGGAAATATCTTTATGTTAAGCAAACAGCGTACCGAACACCCTCATAAACATCCAGCCAAAGCAAATGAAAGCATCTCGATGGTCAAATGAGACGACTCTGAAGATTATTTATTTAAGTTAAATACGACTCTGAAGAATACTTATTAAAGTCAAATTCTACTTTGAACTGATAATTCTCACCTCATAGCAGCACTCTGGATTAGAGGAGCTAGAGCGAATACGCTTACGGCAAGTAGAGCGAAAAGTGAAAAGAAGATTATCTAAATAATAAACATACAGAAAGTATGTCCCAGAATGTGGTGCTCAATATAGTGTGATTGCGGTGCTGACAGCATGTACACGTAAAAAATGATAAAGTACTCTCTATGGCCAAACTTTGGCGCAAGTGTAAAGTTTGTATGCATGAGATGTGTATTCGCGCAAATATTGTTGTCACCGCAAGAGCACTATATTGATGATCAAATATACTAGACTACGTCTTTACTTACTTGAGTCCTCCGGCATGATACCTCGCACCAACCCTTTCGAACAGTGTTTACTGTTTGATTGTACAAACTTGAGCAGCTGCATGTATTCCAGGAATTTGAGTCCTACATTAAAATTTTTGATCTTCTTTATAAGAATTTTAATGAAAAAAAACAGACCGGATTGACAGCAGCACATCCAGCGTGACATGGAGAAAAGTAGCTGACACCAGTCTCTAAAGCGCATACAGGATTGAAGAGCCCATCACACTGACAGCCGTAATTGCATGAGTGGGTCAGAGAGAACGTCTCTTGTTCAGTTCTGGAAATTTCTGTTATTCTATAGCTTTACTGACACATATAAGAAATTACGTACCTTTCATAGCCGCTATTCATACCAGCTATCCGAATTTTTGGGCAGCCAAGAAGAAATGCAGATGAGCTAGCGATCATCACTACTGTCAATGCCATGCACATTTTCATATTTGGTCTAAAAATTCAAAGACTAACATTTTCGTATTTGAATAAGGACAAACCGTGTTTTGAGACGTTTTGTTACCTACCATTTCATGATTTAAAATCTTGTTGACTCTATGAAAATTATTTTCTTTTGCTTATGTCAGATAGCTTCCTCCCGTAGCCAGAATAAGATGATCACAGCAGAAGCAGCAAAATTTTTAGTTGATCATTTATCTTTTGAAATTAGTATGATTCTCTGGTTCTGTGGGTTAAGATTTTTTGAACTATCGAATCTCATTGATGTTTGCTGCTCAATTATCTCCTTGAGACCGAATATGAGCCTCCGATTATTCTTTTTTTTTGTTTTGAGGTGAAAAAAAGAAAAAATCGATTGTTTTTCTGAAACACAGCACAACACAAAATGCGCGGTTTCAGAGGTCCAAGAAAGCAATAGTCAACCGGCTCAGAGCGATTACTCATTTTTCAAAATTCTTATGAATATTTTTTTCAAGGTGGGCTTCAACTTCATGCTTACCTAAAACGATTCTCGACCCTTTCTCCTAGTTTTCCTCCCATGTAGCTGCCAATCACACCCATTGGGACAATAATTAACCCTAAACAGATAATAAAAATTGCAGATATAAATAAAGTACCATCGAGTCATTTGTAGCTTAATATATGCAGACTCAGCGTAACTCCTTAGTATATATGCTCATCGTAACTCCTCAGTAATACTTTTTCTAGCATAGCAAACTGTACGATGTTTACTACTAACTGTACATGTCCAAGCAAACGAAAAAGACAAGGAAATAAGAAGAAATTGCTTGAAATGAGCAAGTTCTAATCTTACATATCGTCAAATAGCAGGCATGGTGTGCAATACGTTTATTGAGTTACAAATGCCTTGGCGATAGATGCTGTGCCAAATTTGAAAAACCTTACCCGTCATTGTACTTGCCCAGCTGCTGCTAAATCCGAATAAATTTTCGAATAGTTTTGGTATGAACGTAATGTAGCCATTCATAATCATCGACTCAGCAGTTTGCATCGCAATCAGCGCCATACACGTTTTGTTGAAGAAAAACAACTAAAATTCAACTTACAATCAGTAAATTCTTTGTGGCATATCCCCCACTGTAGGTCAAATTGTTATGAGAATAATGACCTTAAAAATCTTGAGATATTCGAATCTGTCTCCGCTAAAGTCAACATTTAGTTTCGCGTGAGTTTGCACAATATCATCCTTTTTTCGTTCATCGGTGTCTAAATAAGCGAATTTTGAAAATCACATTATAAGTAGCATTGTATCTAAGGTCTATAATCCTAACCATTCAACTTTTTCGGGAACATGCATAGTGGCAGAGAAGTGAAAAATGAGGCTAAGCCAGCTGCAAAGAATCCGATCCACCAGGCCCCGTACCATCGTGGATCAGATGGCCCATTAATGCCAAGACTGCAAAAAAAATTCGAAACCTTAACAACTAGTGGAAATTTCTTCGAACATACTCCAGATAATTCGATTTCCCGATGTCTCCCCAAATGGTTAATAGATAGCCTCCTCCGATGAAGGCAAGCGCAGGTCCAACAGTGCTTACTCCCATGAAGATTGCTGCAAAAAACTTTATATGTCATAAAATCTGACCGAAGGCAAATTTTTTGATCCCTCATAGGTTTTTCTCGCATATTCCAAAAATTTCTGGGTATGTTCCACTTGCGCACACAACCCCGTAGCGGATCTGTAGCTAGGTCCAGTTGAGCGGATCCGACGGGATTCGCTCAACCTGAACCTGTTCCTAGCGACAAATGTGGTCGACGAGGTCACTCCAGAACGGAAGTAAAACAAGAATAGATTTCTATAGAGCAAGTAATTCATTTTTTCAAATATTGCGTCGTAAAAAAATAAAAAAATTTAGAAAACCTGCAAGGTTTTGTTCTAATTTCTAAGCCTATACCAAGTACAGACGTTTCAAGAAGTTCCTCACTCACCCATATTGTTTCCAGTTCTCTTTTGTGAATCGAACTCGTCTATGGTACTGTAACCGTAGGTAAACAGAGGTGCAGCACCGAATCCGATAAAAAGCTGAGACGCGAGCAGTAGCGGGTATGAACTAGACAAAAAATTTCCTTTTTTGAAATTCGCCTTTTGACTCAACTTACTAGATGCTAGTTTTCTGTTGTGCATCACAACTGCTATTCTCCCTATTAGCATCGCATACATCTGATTTCAGGGCTCCCACCTCGTAAAGACCATCAATGAAATGTGGAAGGATGAGAATGAGCGCTCCAAGGCCAACCATAAACATTCCATAGCCGATGCAACGAACTTTGTTGACTATAAAAAACAAATAAGTTGAACTGATAAACAGAACCTCAGTCGAATCAAATTGAATGTTGATATCCAGCATACTGAGACAGTAATGCAGCTTCCAGATTTGCCAGGTGCCGGCAATGTGCCAACGCCGTTCCACTTGATCGGCGTTTAGGCACGGCGCTAGCACGATGCTGGCACGAACACCTCTAGACACAGTTTAAAGGGTAACCTGATGTTTTTCCGAGTTTAGAAACATTTTACCTCTGTGAGATTTTCTGATTATGTGAACTTGATTCAAAAAAAAAATTGCTACCTCGATGAGCATAATAGGATAAGGGGATGAGCATGATTGCGACAGCAACGTCATAGGTAGCTGAGAATACTCCAGACTTAGTCGACGAAAGATTAAATCTGTAAATTTTTTTGAATAAATGATAGCAGTACTTTCCTGCATATTATACAATATTTTATTCATGTCTTAAGCGATCATCCTCCTTAGATTTATTTGCTGCAATCGATTTATTGATTTTTTAGTTACCGTCAGTCATGTCTTTACTGAGCAGCTCGTACAAACATTTATCCAGGCCAGTAACGTTTGGCATTTCAAAATCAACTTCCTTACAAATAGAATTTACCTCTTTTCAATACTGGAGATACTTGTAGAAATAAAGCCATTGACCATCATTCCTTGTATAATAGCATTAATGGATAGGACGAACATAAATACGTTGAATACAGCGAATTTTCGTAAGAATTTTGGTGCAAACCTTGAAAATTTCATCACAATTCAGTCGAGATTCGAAGATAAAAATTCTGATGTTAATGACTCACCATGACCATCCGCAACCATGAGCATCTCCCGGATCAGGTTTAGATGAGATATCGCTGGTTTTAACCATTTCGTTTGAAGACTGTTAAGAATGTAGGTAAGTTAAACACGAATAAATGACTAAGCTAGTAGACGAAAAACTTTGAAAAATGAATTTCGACAAATAGAACTGATATATGACTAGCGATTGAATGATAGTTATTCCAGTGTTAAGTAATACCTATACTGAATCAGTAAGTGAAATAGAATTATGAGATTGATTTTAAAAAATGAAGACCGAAAATGTCGCGCACTTTTCAGAGTACAAAAAAAAATCGTAGCAATAATTGTAGACGGTCAGGATAAATAACGTAAATGCTATGTACAATTGTGATCGTCTGCGATCGTCAACTAACAAATAAATGAAGAATAAGACGAGGGAAGTGATCGAAAAGTCCACACTTAGTACTTGAAAAATCAGCGTACGGTGAGAATCTGAACGCTCGAATAACAAAACAATAAAAGGAATATGGAGCTTCAAGCGAACATAAGTAAATATGAAGGACCTTAATTTGAAAAACTTGGATAAAACAAAATGAATTACGTGAAGGCTGTAGCTGTAAAAAAAAGCAGCAAAAATCAGCCAGGAAAGTAAGTAAGATATAATTTTAAAAAAATAGAAAAATAGTATGGTCAAATGAAACAATCTCAAAAAATAATGTATGCACTGAAAAAAAATGTAACCTTCTTCTTAATCATGAGATGGCGTATCTTGAATTAAACCTTCTTATTCAAACTTTATACACGCAGTCAAAATTGGTACTAACATGATGTAAGATGGAGGACACTAGCAAGATGTAACGGAAATGAATTTTCAAATATTTCAGTAGCAGTAAGTTTGAAGATTTTTTTATAAACAACGGGTAATGAAGCATAGTCAAAGCTTAGCACGAGGAACACCACTGCGACAGCTGCACTATAGGGCGCAGCATGTGGGCAATCAGTTTAATCACACTTTACCTTAGAACTAAACAGCTGTTTTCCGTCTAGAGTAACTTCATTTAAATATCAAACACGATTTAGTTTACCCCAAATTGCTTAGAATTTTTCGCAACAAGCTATGTGGAAATTTTCTTGAAGCAAAAGTGAGGAAAGTGTAATAGGAAGTGAATTATTGCATAGACAACTGGTGGAGTCACTCGGAAACGAACTTTTAGCAAAAAGTAAACGAACAGATGTCTCAGAGCTGAATGGAACGATACTGTGATGATGATTTACAATACAGCTTGCATAAGAAAACGTAAGAGAAAATTATTGAGCTCTAAAACCTTCCACCAGAAGTATTAGGTTGTAATACAATTAAGTCTCACAACGATAATTCTGCAAGTTTACCTACAAAAATGTTCGAAAAACTTTAAATATCACTATACTTGTGATCATACACAAAGCATTTATGTATATCATAATCTTATTTGAAATGAGACGAAAAGGTACAAAATAAGTTTCTAATTTCCATAAACAATCGTTACTTTTCTTCGGACCCATTTTTTCAAAATGTTCACATGAAATGAGTGCTTTAGCTTAAAGATTTTCTTCAAGGATCATATAAGGATTGTCTCCTGCCACGTGCCAAGATAAAATTTAACACGTTTGCGTTCAGTTTGACACGTTATTTTTCAGGACCATTTCCGGTGAGGTACGAAAGCATTCGCACTAAAAAGCTGTTCAGCTATTTTTCATAATAGCAAAACAATCCAGAAACTTTTAAAACACCTTGATCACTTTTAGCAACCAAGATGTTTTGATCCAAAAAAAAACCTTTCAAATTGTCTCCGCGAATTTAGCCAGGAAGGAATATAACCGGTGATTTGAAGAACCCGGCTGTCGCTTGTCCCTCTTAAGTGGTGGAATAACAGCCTATGTATCTGTTCTGGACAAATTTAATGTGTCCATTGAACACAGGATGTTATTTTTATGATGTTAACGTTTATTTTGAAACTGTTGAATAAAAATGGGGTCGTATGTAATTGAAAGGAAAAAAAGATTGACCTCACATTAATAGGTAGGCTAAAGAAATCGTAAAATCTGTTAAACATATAGATGACAGGTTAATTTGACACGTGGCCGAAGGTTGACACTACTTCCTGTGAAGTTATGACCAAATCTGGTGCAAGGAAAGAACCAAGACCTTTTTGAAATAAATGGGTCCGGATAACGGAAAAGTACCAAAATATCAATCTACGAAATTTCCTATGTCAGAGGAAATAGGTAATGACTCAAAATTAGACCTCTTAGGAATTTCGCGACCCATTTACCAAATTTCCCAATCTGGTTAGTTTTCTTATAAACATTTAACGCTGCAATATGGGATGAAAAATTATTGTTCAAGAAATCACAAAGTGGATTAGTCTTTCTTCCTAATATGTATAGATCCAAATAGTTGAAAATGGAGCAGACTGCAATTCTTAGAAGAGAAGTTCCAAATCCGATGCGGGACCTATGTCTCAACCATATGAAATGAATTTTGCAGACCACTATTAGGAATTCTTTGTGATGAAAAGTGCTCCGCATGATCTAGAAATTCTTAGCGCTGAAAAATGCCCCCTACGATCAATGATCAACAATCTCAACAGCATAAACTACAAAAATTTATCGTAGTGAAATAGATCATAGGTTATGATCCAAAAGCGCTGACTAGGGAGTTATGTAGCAGCCGAGCAAAGAGTAAAAATGGAGCTTCATGTTGCATATATAGTGTTTGCACTGGGATGATATTTTTTACTATGAGGTGAAGTTGCTACAAAAGTTATTATTATTTAGATACTGCTGTGGTTTTCAAGTTAAAAGTTTTTGTTGTTTGCTTGAGTTGATGAGAGTTTATGTGAATATTTACATTTTCAGAGAGTAGGAATATATAACAAAATTCTTTGCACAAAGGCTCAAATAGAGTTTGAAGTTTCAAAATTCACTGTTTGGATATTACATTTGAAAAGCAGCTCGAAAGGGATTGCAGACATCTTATTCTTGATATTTTTTTAAAGATATAAATTTGTGCAATGATTTTGAAGTATGGGACAAATCGTAAGGGAACCCAGCAGATTAGTTTCGTTATTTCTTTTAAAAGTTACTGACACTCTATGAATCTCATCGATGCTTGCCAATGTAAATCCCTCTTTCCTACTTTTTACTTTTCTCCATACAATTGAAGTTTGGTAAGCTGGACCTGAAGTGATGTTTGAAGGCGTGTACTTCACTGAAGAAGGCGTGTACTTCACTGAAGATGTTTATAGTGGGACCAATTAAAGTTCTACAATGGCGCAAAACAAGCGCATAAAACATTCTGAACAAGTTTGTTTTCACGCTGAGATTGTTGAACGAATCAAATGCCAAAATAGTTTGTAAAGTGAGAAGTCGATCTAAAAATTTGAGGGTTATCAAATCGTATAAGCACTAACTAAGGAAAGAGGTAATGACTGAGAATATAATGAACTAAATCGGATGAATGTGAAAGAAAATTAATACCATTTTCGACAAAGATGTGGCAGTGGCGAATTTGCGACCGTGACAACCGTGCGATTCGTATCGCTAACCCTTACTTGACCGGTATTTGAATTTTTATACTCAAATGTAAATTTGTAATGCCAGAATATGTTTGTTTGCACAGAAAAGTGCACAAACCCGTGAAAAAAAAATAATAGATACACTACTAGACCAGGGATCACAAAATGATAAATGCACAGCGGTCATAAATCACTGGGGACCAGGATACAAATAAGGGTCCCGAAAACTACAAAATGTGCGATCGCAGAAAAAACTGCTAGGGTTACATTCATAAAACGGCGAGGAGGTGGACGCGATCGCCTGCGCACACGGCGAGAAAGGATGACCTCAATTTGGGAAAAAGGAAGAGTTAAATCGTTCGGAAACTACAAAATTCAATGCAAAAGGTTTTAGATGGTTACAGATCACCTCTTTCTAAAATATACTTACTCTTAGGAAATGAGGAAAAATTTCATATCCTTCAAAAAACGAATAAAGTGCGAAAATTCCAATCAGAACAAACCAAAGCTCGTCCAGAGGCTCAAACAGGAAGTGAACTCTTGCATGCCCTTTTTATCTTATTATTCAAATGAGAAATTTCAGCAGACACAGTTATGACATTACACAACAGGTAGACGCAACCAACAACAGAAAGTGAGAATTTCATCGAAATCGAAATGTTTTGAATATCAACAGATGCGTGATCGTGACCCACATCATCGCATACTTCGAGAAAAAACTTTTATAAATACTCTACGGGTCAGTGGTTATGGTAAAGAGCGATTTTGAGATTTACTATTTCTTTTATTTATTTATTTATTTATTTATTTATTTATTTATTTATTTATATTTAAAATACACACAAGCTTCAAAACAAAGTAGAAAAACGGAAACAACTTATTGAGTGTAACTAGCAGAATCTGCAGAGATGTAAATTGACGCAAACTTAAAGAAATCCTGCAATTATGTGCAATTACGGAAATTGTTGCTTAGAGAATCCTGCTTTCTGAAAAAAACAAAAGCAATGCTATTGTATGAGCCAGTTCACTCTGTGTAAGCTGCGCATGGATGATTGAGTGGGCATGCTGGAGAAAAATATGACCATTTCAAATGTAATTATAATAAAGTGGTTTAAATGAAGGCTTTTAATGGGTAGAAGTTGTAGAAGTTGTGATGGGAGTAAAAAGTGCAAAAAGTTTTATACTAGTATGATAAATATCGGAAAAAAACAAGGGATCCAAATTAGACAACTTCCAGATTTTTCTCCTAATAGCTTTCGAAGAATAGCGCAGGAAGAGACACAAAGTTCTAGAATTTCTTCTTAAGTATAGTAAAGTTGTAAATAAAACCAAAAAAATATAGATGATCAATTAGTCACACACTAGAAATTGTCTTCCAACACCGAGATTTTGATTTTTGAAGTTAATCAGACATATGCACTTCAAAAATATAGAAGATGTGGACAATCCTGAGCTCAAAAAATTGTTTTCAAGGTCTGCTTAGAAAATATGAAAAAGTTTTGAAATGAAGCTTAGCGTACGACTCAGACGGTGTCTATGCCTTA